AACGGAACAATTCATGTCCGTGGGAGATACTATTACCATGTATCATGACCACATTACATTGCTTCCAAGATTGAAACAAGCGGTACCACTAGACTCGCCGGGCCAAATACTATGCCTACTCGAGGTTCATATGCTCCGTACATATCAATGATGCCAGTATTGGTATGAATGAAAAATGTTACAAATCGACGTTATGATTTTGACGTGAGTGAACGTGAAACTGATTAGAACCATCGTGAGTGACGCTTGCCATTCAAATGTAAGAGGGGTCGCTACTTCGTCCTGCATACGTCAGGTGGGGGATCAGGTCCATGGTGGGGCAACGTCTTGAGGCGACTTGTAAATTTTTGGTCAACGCCGCCGCCATCATGACCTCCGACTCGAGCTCCTCCACGCACTCCGATTCGCTGCCTGCTGCTCTGCATCTCCCCTCGCCGTTTGCAGACACGGGCAAAGAGACTGCCCACCTCGCCTTTGCACCGATAGCGCTGGCGCAATACCACAACATAGTCGAAAAACTGGCCTCCAACAACGTCTACCGCATCCTCCGCGCACCCGGGCCCATTCGTGTATGGGTCTACCGATCGCTACTCGCCGAGCACCAATTGTGGAATGACTGGGACCGCCGCGCGCCATCACCGCCCGACGTGAAGCCTGAGACGGAGCCCGCCATGGCCGAAGACAGCATCAACGACACGGAGAGCGTGAGCGACTCGGAGCGGCCCGAGAGCTCGTCCGGCATGACCGCGCGACCCTACCTCACCCGACTACGCCTCGCGCTCGCGCCCTATACCGTTCATTTCCACAACCCCGGTTATGTCCGCGACGACACACTGCGCATGCTGGAGCGCGACGTGGTGAAGAAGACGCTGGAAGAGTCGCGGAAGAGCCTCGAGTTGCGCGAAGAACTCGGCCTCTCGTGGGAGTTCTGGGACGATCTCGCGGGCGTGCTCAAAGCCGCTATCCCCTCGCTCGAACGCCGCTGTTTCGCTGCGCCGGATCCTGCTGCGCCTGAATATGAGGGTCTGTCGGGTCCGCTCATCGCAAGCTATTCGCCGAGCCTGCTTAGGGATCTGGAGCGGCTGAATCAGCTCGTGTGCATTGCAAGGAATGTGCAGGTACATGGCGAGAGGGTGCAGAATTTGAGCGCGGACAGACTCTTTGACAAGGACATTTTCGCATTGATCAATGTCTGTGTACGCGTTACGGCGCGGGGCTACGATGGCGAGGCTGGAACCCAGGATGAAGACAAATGGCAGGGCGTCATTAATGCATACAAGAAGCTGCTCATTACCTGTTTGCAGTTTCTCAACAATCTTATTGCGCGGAACGAGCAGCGGAAGTTGATGCTTTGGATCGAACTATTCGACAGCCATCTCGACAATGAACTACCCAACTTTGCCGACATGAAGTACAAAATGGACGAATTTCCACAACAAGATCAAGGCCCGCCACCAGAAGAGCAACCTCTGCCAACTCATGCCGCGCGAAGTCTGGACGCGTTCAAGATTCCTCAACAGCCTGCGTCCTCGCCATTCCTGCTCTACATTGGCGAGACTGGCAACGACGTCAAGAAGGCCCTGATACATCATGGTGTCAAGGCGGGCGCAAACGAGATTGCTGCCGAATGCAGGCGGAGGTGGCAGACCATGGGCGAAGAGGAGAAGAACGTAAGTTACATGTGTCGTATGACCTGATTCTTGCTAACACTTTCAGAAATGGAATATGCTCTATGCAGATGTCGTTGCCCGATATCGCGATCAGATCACTCAAACCAGCACATACCGCAAAGTCGTGGATCAGCATGCCAAGAACGAAGAGAGTGTACAGGCGCTGGCGAAAAGCATCAACCAACTCCAAGTGGAGGTCGACAGGATGCGGTCATCCATCACAGCTCTCCCTGGCGACGAGTCCAACAGCGAGCAACCATCCCAACCCACAGCGGAGAAGCAATCCCCGAAACCAGCATTGGATGACTCGTTACTAGATCCCAGCATCAAACGGTCTCCCCCGGCAGGTGAGATCGATTTCCGTGTGACATACCCGCCATCCTTCGGTGCGGAGATACTCCAAAATGGCAAAGAAGATCTGCTTAAGCGGCTGGAGCCAGACCCCGACCGTCCATCAGGGCTAATCAGTGACGTAGCGTCTCCTACCTCTCCTCCGCCAGAGGATGACGATGACAATGATGACGACTACGATGACATTCCTGGTGATGAGGGCCGAGGGTTGCTCACAGATGTTCCGCTTATTCTGGGTCCTACTGAGATTGAGGTTCTGCCCATGATCATCATGGCTGGAATTGTTGAGCCGACGGAGGGACAGCCTGGTCATCATTCCGATCCGACTGTTTTCAGCAGTGTCAGGAGCATGCATGGGGTTCGGTGTCATTTGCTTCTTGCGCAGGACAATGGCCGGAATCTGCTGCGCGAGTTGTTGATCTTTGTTGCTGCTTGGGACCTGCGCGAGGAAGAGTTGTACTTCAAGTTCATGGTCAAGATCATGGAGGCTATTCTTGCAAACCAACTACTGCCGTTTGCTTATCACGCCTTTAGAGAGTCTGAGTAAGTATACCCATTGGAAACACGGACTTTGACTAACGTTATAACAGATCTAAGGACATCATCTCTCCGGCTCAGGCAGTCATCATGAAGCTCCTCACAAATATCTTCCGCGCCAGACAGGCCCGCGCCCAGCCCACGAAGGGTCATCTCAAGGCAAACCACCCGCAGGTCGACCAAGGCGATGTTCACATGGTCAACTTCCTACTTACCGAGTTCCGTCGCCATATCATCCCCCAGACATGTGCCCTCATCTTCCTGCAAGGCCAAATCCGCGCGGGACATGCGCAACCCGAAGACTTCCCTCTAAATCTGTGGGACATGGAACGCATGTATGAGGGCGTATACCAGTACCTAGAGTTCTTTGCCATTCTTACGGAACACGAAACATGGAAGAGGATGCTGAGCAATTGGGAGATCTCGCATGAGCTGGTGACCTTGTTGAAAGAGCTAGATGCAGCAATACCCAAGGGTCAGCTCTCGCCGCCTCCGCTGAGGAATGTCCAGCACGCGCCACCACCTCCAGCCCCAGTCGAGGTCCACATCCCTCCGTCACACCAGCAGCAAGATCAACAACAGCCACCCCAACCCCAACCAGTCGCTGTCGAACGACCATACGACACCACAGCCGGCGCAGCCGAAGCCTACATCCCTCCACCCACCTCACCCTCACCCCGACCCTACATGGACGAAGCAGCCGACGAGCCCTCAGACTTCGAGTGGCGCAATCTGAAGAAGCTCGCCGTCCTCGTCCTCAGCTCCCTAGTATGGAAGAACAAGCACGTTCAAGATCAAATACGGCCATTGGGTGGTATTGAGGCGGTGTTGAACTGCTGTTCTTATGATGAACATAACCCTTACATCCGCGAACACGCCATAATGTGTCTCCGCTTCCTCATGGAAGGGAATAAAGAGAATCAAGACCGTATTCACGCGCTGGAGAAGTATAATCAAGATCCCAATGCGAAAGCGAAAGCCCCTGCCGCGACATCAAGCCCACATCCAAATCCGAACTCTGCTGTCCCAAGCGAGAGCAGCGGAAGTGGCAGTGGCAGTGGTAGTGGTAATGGCAGTGTTGGGGTCAGCAGCAACCGATCACCAGTCAACGTCCGCGTCCCCGACGAAGTGCTCGACCAACAAGGGTACGAAACCTACATGGACAAACAAGGCCAGGTCATGCTGAGGAAACGTCAACATGTGCCGCAGTCTTCGGCGTCGCATATGATGCACCAGCAGCAGCAGACATTGCCGATTCAGAATACGGAGCTGACGAAGGGGACAGATAATGGGGGTCAAAACATGAACAACAACACCAACGGTACCGGCAATGGCAATCCTGGCAGTCCAAGTAACACCACCACCAATACCACCACCAAAGGCAAAGCCAAAGCAGACTCCGCTCAAGCTGTCTGGGATAACATGCGCGCTACTGCGCTAGGTGGGATTGGGGGTACGATGACGGGTGCAGGTGGTGGTGTGCGCGATCCTAAGGCGCTGGAGGAGATGGTTGAGCGCGTTATGCATAATTTGCCGAGGCTGCAGGGACTCAGGGGTGGGGAGGAGAGGGCGGTGGAGGTGGAGGAGGCGTTGAAGAAGTTGGATAGGGGGTTTGATGGGGGGAGTTAGGGTGGGGGATGATGGGGATTGGGAGGGGTAGGGAGGGAGGGAGGGAGGGAGAGAGGGGGGATGGGAAGGGATGCGAAATGGAGTTTATCTGGTTTCGTTACTTGTGGGTGGGATTGAGATCGATTAGGGCGGCGTCTTACTACATTGATAGCCTTTTGTCGGGCGATTGCCTAGGAGATAAAGTTTTCACCATAGAAGTATATATCTTAGGGTAGTGCATGTTTAGCAGAACAATGATCCTATTCACTTACAAGCTATCAATATCGCTTTCTCAATTTATCAATAGGCTGAGAAACTGTGTAAGGCGCCATGGACTTTTGGCTACTGTCCCATCTTAATTCTAAGGTGGATACTGGACTTTTATCTCCGCGAACGCTTATGCTACTAACACGCCTGGTCCAGGTCTGGATGAATGTGGTACGAGCTATCACGTGATTGCTTGGCGCTTCATGAAAGCGCTTTCCACACCGTTCGCACAAAGCCTAGCTAGTCAGATGATTACCTAGGCTGCATATGCAGAAATTGAATGCGCCAACTCTCATCCTATCGTCCCGCACTTTTGAACCTCGCAGCCGCACGAAGCGCCCACGTAGGCAATGATCGACCCCACCATCATCGTCCAGCCTTGCCGCAACACTTCCAGCGCTGACCGGTTTGAAGGAGGGAAAGACTGCGCCCTAGATTTAGACCGGGGTCTGATCTTAGTTTGGCCTAGCCACCGGTAGTACAGCCTAGATGCCCTAATGTTGGCATGAGCGCAATCGTTCTTCCTCCTTCTGTTCTGCTCAGCATCGCTCAGTCACTCACCACACAATGACCAGCTTCGGGTTTTCGATAGGTGACGTTGTCTTAGTTGCCAATTACGCATACTCTGTTTACAAGTCATGCAAGAACGCAGGTGACAACTTCCGCGAGATCACTGCGGATAGTAAGCAGATGATACGCAAAGAATCGGGTGCAGGTACTGACATGTCACAACCCAGTCAACTCACTACATTCCCTTCTCAATGCCCTGAGCAATGAGTACGAAAATCCTCGTTCCTCGTTCCGGTATCTCCCACCCGACCAGGAAGGCCAGTTGGCAGCTCGTTTAGAAGACTGCAAAGCTGACCTTCGTTCGGTAAAGACGATATTGAACGACTTCCGCTCGCTCGACACACACCATGCACGGTACCGCGACAAGCTTGCATTCACGAGTGAGAAGCAAGCAGCTATACGGGAGAAGATAGTTGCACACGGCGCTCGGCTGCAACAGTTTCTGAGTGGTACAAATGTCGCGACATTCTCCAGGATCGAGAACAACACTGAAGTGAATGGTCACATTTTGCGTGAAATTTACGTAAAGGTGGACATGATTCAAAAGGACAGATTCCCTTGTAGACGCAATGCCCCGGAACGCGCTCTCTCTGGAAACGGGCTGACCTTGAAGAATAAGACCCAAAAAGCCATTACGTCTAGCCTACGCAACGCCTCGAAAATCACTCTCACTGGGGACGCACTAGCCCCAGAGAATATAACACCAAAGGCTATGACCTCTGGCCTACGCAATACCTCGAAACGCACCACCTCTGGAGGTGAGCTAGCATCAAAGAACAAGACCCACAAGAACAATAAGACGCAGGTGGATGTCAACTCCTTGTCTAGACTTGATGGGTGGCACGATCAGGACAGCAGGAATACTTCACGGCCTGCGAAGAAACGTCACCCCTCATCCCAACTTTTTAATGCCAACGCCATTGCATCCCTTGCAAGCACCACATCGTGTCCCTCTCTTGAGAACGCTAAGAAAGTCACGAGCGACCCGACTGTTGCATTGGTGAAAAATGATGCTAACCAGCTGATTTCTTTAAAAGGTTTCCCTACTTTCGAAGAGGCATATCATCATCACGAAAAGAAGATGGAGTGCATGCGGACTGAAGATTGGAGTAACCTATCCCCTGTGGAGAACACTTTTTATATCCTCAGGTTCTCTTACGAAGAACTTTGTTCGGGTACCTCGAGACGCATTAATGTGAGACGGAGGACACGATCCAAGAAAACGCCCTCCGAACACCTTTCGCTCAAGGTGAAGGTGGAGAAAGGCTATACCGACGTTTACGGTTTGCAATTTATCGGAGCGGGTACTCAATGCGCAGGCTACACGAAGAACCTTTTTTTTGCTGTGACATGTGTAGGTTCGCAGTCATTATGAATGGAGAAGCGTTTGCGTGCTGATATTCGCGCAGAAAAAACACAAATTGTTCTCCAGGCATCAGTCGAATCTAGCACATGGCATCTCCATCTCCGTGGCAGAAGCTATCGATGGCTGGAGAAGAGAGATACGCCATCCCAGTGGTACCCTGATCGAACTCCATGCGTACGGCCCAACAAACGTTCGACATTTTTTGGAGATGTACAACTATGGACTTCCTTACCGCACCTCCCCCGAGGCTCATGGAAGCCTACTTCTCTGGATTCAAGTCACAGATATCGAAGACGCCTCTGTGGGTCAGCTAGATCAGCTGGAGTATGAAGGAGGAGCATACTTTGCGCGGATCAAAGGAGAGGAAGGTCGAAGATTCGAGTCTACCCACGAAGAAGCAGTCGATCTACTGGCTTTTGGGGACAAGGCCATATCACACAGCAAATTGTTGAGCGCTGGTTTTAAGAAGCGCATGAACGATGTGGAAAAGTCACCCCGTCGCAAGGTCACGCCCACCGAGGGGAAGAAGAGACCGCGTTCTCCATCGCATTTGTCGTGAGCCTTCTTATTGCATCCTTGACAGCAGTCGAACTGCGAACAGGCCAGGTTACTATGACATGGCTCGGCTCCCGGGGTTTCGTTACCCGGACTCGGCAAACTTGCGCGCGCAATCTGCATCTCCCAGCCTCAACACTTATCGACAACCACCCGTCCTCACTTATCAACATCCGTCGCCGTCGGATGCCATCCGATCGGCTGTCAGATTAAGTACCGACGAATTACCGATGCCAGATAACAGCCGACATAACGCGTATCTCCGCGTTCGACTCGTACGCGACCGCATGTAGCAGGTACCAAGACCATCGCGCCCTTGATTACTAGGTGGATTGTGGGGTAGTGGAGTCCGGAGTGGAGACGAACGTCGATGCGAATGCAACGCAGGACAAGGTATACGACCGATCTCGGAAGTATAGCATACGTCGGATGTTGTTATATACAATCCAACGATGGCGCCGCTGGACGTAGCTTCAGCGTTGTGCGAACGGGCCGCGTCAATTCTACATTCCCACATCGACGCCATCATGGGCCACAATAGCATGGCTCAGCGACTACTTACCAGCTTCGCGCTGCTCACCACCAGCGTATCTAGCGTTTCTGCGGCATACAACACCTCATCTGCAGTCACGCTTCCTGGCTACGGTACCTTTGTCGGCACTACGGTCTCGCAGACCCTGACGAAGAAGCCTCTACCACGCGCTGTAGACGCCTGGCTCGGTATTGACTATGCTTCTCAGCCTATTGGAGAGGCACGATTCGCGCCTGTTAGTGCGCCTGAGCCTTTCCATGGGATCAAGAATGCGAGCAGTTATGGATACTCGTGTTTCCAGGATCCAGACGAACTCCCATACGAACTGGATGAGGCGTGTCTGAGCATGAACGTTTTCCGGCCGCAGGGCGTTGCGGAAGATGCGGAACTACCGGTGCTGATCTGGATTCATGGGGGTGGCTTCGTTGCTGGAAGCGCGAGGAGCTTTGACGGTGCTTCTTTCGTGGCTAATTCGAGGGAGCCGCTTGTTGTTGTCACTTTTAACTACAGGGTAAGCATAGGTATCGTCTTCGCACGAGTCAGGCTAATGTCATCCAGGTCAACTCTCTGGGTTTCCTCCCGTCTCCAGTCTTTGAGCGCGAAGGACTTCTCAACCTCGGACTCCGCGATCAGGAAACCTTGTTCAAGTTCGTTCAAAAGTACATTTCGGCTTTTGGAGGCGATGCTTCTCGCGTCACGATTGGAGGTCGCTCAGCTGGTGCGCACTCAGTCGGCATTCATCTCTTCCATAACTACAACAAAACCGAGGATGCACCAGCGCTCTTCTCGCAGGCTCTCCTCCAATCCGGCAGTGTGACTGCCCGAGCTTTCCCCAATGCATCTTATCCGTTGTACCAGGAGCAATTTGCGCAATACCTTAGCTACACAGGATGCAGCGCAGTAGCCAATAGCACCGATGCCGAAATCCTCAGCTGCCTTCGATCCGTCCCCATCGATGCGATCCAGAACGCCAGCGCTCTGCTGTGGCGCGCTTCAGAATACCCCATCACGTGGCCATTCCAACCCACGCGAGGCGGTCCTCTCCTCGAGCAAGCAGGCTCGACATCCGGAATCAACGAACAATTCTACCGTATCCCGACCATCACCACCAACGTTGTCGACGAAGCGAAGTACTACTCCCCAGGCGACATTTCCACCAACGAAGAATTCCTCGCCTTCATCAAGAACCTGATCCCGGGCCTGACCACCGACGATCTATCTGATCTCGAAGAGCTTTACCCTGACCCAGCGGACGACATCAACGGCCCTTACGCACACAGCCCCAACTCCACACAGTACAACCGCATCTCTGCCGCGCTTACCGACTACATGTACGTCTGCGCCGGCCAAGAAACCGCCATGCGTATGTCGTCTGCGTCAGTCCCCGTCTACAAAATGGTTTTCGCAGTGAACAACACATTTCCGACTTGGAAAGGCATACCCCACACGGCCGACACAAAGTATACATGGGCGGAACCCGCCGGTAGCGGTGGTGTGCAGTACCCAGAAGTAGGCAAGGAGTTGCTCAATGCGTACTTCTCCGACTTTGTTGCGCTCGGCGATCCGAACGCAGGGAATAGGACTGGTGTACCGGTTTGGCCAAAGTATGAGGATGAGGGTGAGGGTAGACCTGGGTTGCAGTTGAGGATGGAGGCTTTTGGCAATAGCAGGGTGGAGGGAGATGCGATCAGGAGGCGTCAATGCGAGTGGTGGAGGGATGAGAGTAGGGCTGCGAGGTTGGAGAAGTAGGTTGATAGAATGGAAGTTGGGTAGTTGACTAGATTCCGTGATGTCCGTACAGAAACGACTCACAAGCTGCGTTTCGCAACGTTACTCCCCTCACATCTCCAAACTCGGATTGAGAACTCACGACCACAATGGCCGTTGTACTGGGACATTTCGTCTTCGCATACCGTATCGCCGTTCGCGGGTTGACACGCGGGGACGCACCAACCTACACGCACGCGCCCCACATGCGCTAATCGATTGGCGCAATCCCAACCGATTACACCTGCGCGCGCGTTGAACGACATCCGCCTATCCTGCCCACGTGTGACCGTAGCCCGTCCGTGTCTTCCGCTTTGCACACCATTCTTGACGTAACTAAGCTTTTCTCACGCTGATGAAGCTCACGCAAGCTTTTTATCAAGCTTTGGCGACTGGGGTATAGGGTTAGGTTTCCGCTGCGTGCCGCGCACATGGGATAGATGGATGGCTAGTATGCGTCCGTTCCTGCAGCTTATGGCTAGGGTCGTGGATTGGGCTTGTCGTTGACGTAGGGGATGGTTGGTTAGCTCGAGTAGGCTGACGACGTTGGGTAGGTATAAAAGATGGATGGCTTTGGCTGTGGTTGAGGGGTGGTGTGTTGGTTTCTTGTCGTCCTTTTCGTTCCTACAAGAAGTCACAATCTTCCCGTCAATATGAGCGCGTTTCTGGTACTGGGTCTCGCTGCTACAGCTCTGGGTTATCCGGCTGTTAGCAAGCATCATCATACTTCTCTCGAAAATGCCACGGATTATCTCGTCTCTGTTGGGCCGCGACCGTACTACATCATCAGCAACATGACTGATAGCCCGTTGAAGCGGAAACTGCAGTCGTGTGAGAACACTCCGGTGTCGATATCTCCATTCACAATCGGCCACCGCGGCGGAGGAACACTCCAATTCCCAGAAGAGTCGATCCGGTCTCAAGATGCCGGTGCGCGGATGGGTGCTGGAATCTTGGAATGCGATGTAGCTTTCACAAGCGACAGGGGATTGGTGTGCAGACACGATCTATGCGACTTGCACCGGACAACAGATATCCTGCTCAGACCCGAATTGGCAGCAAAATGTACCACGCCGTTTACACCAGCGAATGCAACGAGTCCTGCGAATGCGTTATGTTGTACATCGGACATCACGATCGATGAATGTATGATCTCACCTCCACCTCAAGTACCACGATATCAAGTCAAACTAACGAAAACACAGTCAGTACCCTCTGCAGCAAACAAGACGGCTTCAACGCCTCCGCCACAACCCCCCTCACCTTCCAAGCCGGCACCCCCCTCTGGCGCACAGAACTCTACGACACATGCGCGCAGACCCTCACCCTAAACGCCTACATCGACCTCGTAGACTCCTACCCCGGCTACCGCAACTTCACCCCGGAGTTAAAAACACCACCCGCAGCTGTCCCCATGCCCTTTCTTGGAAACTACACACAGGCTCAATACGCGTCCGACATGATATCTGCGTTCCGCGAAAAGGGGATTCATGCGGATCGTGTGTGGCCGCAGAGTTTCTTGTTTGAGGATGTGGTGTATTGGATTGATAATGATGAGGAGTTTGGGGCGCAGGCTGTGTATTTGCAGGAGTTTGATACGCCGGATGATCTTGCGGCTGGGTTTGCGAATCTATCCACCGCACGGGCTGCAGGCGTGAATATCATCGCGCCCTCTCTTCCCATGTTACTTTCCGTCGGCGGCGCGGATAACGCCACTATCGTGGAAAGCGAGTACGCGAAAGCGATCAAAGCGAATGACATGGATATTATCGCTTGGACGTTTGAAAGGAGCGGGCCGTTGGCGGGTGTGAAGAGGGATGCGGAGTATTATTTCGCGAGTGTGGCGGATGTGGTGGATCATGATGGACAGTATTATGAGGTGCTGGATGTGCTGGTCAGGGAGGTGGGAGTCAAGGGGCTTTTTACGGATTGGGCGGGGACGGTGAGTTATTTTGCGAGTTGTTTTGGGTTGGAGGGGCCGGTGGGGGGGAGTTATCGGTGATTTTTAGGGACGGGAGGGGGTGTGTGGGAAGGGAACATGTTTCCAAAAAGCGAATTGGCATGTGCAAAGACACACGAAATCAGAACTGAAGACAGTGCAAAACTCCAGGAACCCAATATAATAGATCGAGAACTCCCTCGAAGGCCTCTTGTTTCCATGCCCGTCGCCAAACTGAGCACGTGCGACTAGTCGTCAATCCAGCAGGACAGTCCATACGATAGACTACTGCAAACTTACATTGCAACATATACGCAACAACTTAGAAACCTCTCTTTCAGTCTCTATTGCGCAAGCAATGCCATCAGCGTGCCTCCATCGCAACTGCCAAAACTACATCCAACCACATTTACCTACCCACGATCATCACCAACCCTCATCTCCCCACTCCATCATGCCAACCCACTTCCGACAGCCCCATTTCGACTCAATCACGAAAGCGACCGTACCCACCGTAAACCGGATATCACCGAATAGTTCGCGGTTCCGAGACGGTCAAAGAGAAAAACAGCCGAACATGTCGATCGCTATTACGGCAGCGACCGAAAGAAAGCAAGTTTTTCGAACGGACGCATGAGCTAGACATGCCTAAGAACAGTGCACGGAGGTCTAGAAGCGAGACTGTGGGGAGGTGTTCGGCTATGGGTGCCGAGCGGATAGGAGGATGGGAGATTGATGCTGTGGTCGGTTGGGGAGTAGGTGAGGT